GATGAGCAAAGGGGGGAAAAAGAGAGGCAAAGAAGCCGACTCTTAATCATAGAGAACAGACTAATGGTTACCAGAGGGGAGGTGGACGGGATATGGGGATGAAGATGTGTACCTGTTGTGATGAGCACCAGGTGATGTCTGGATTACTGACTCACTCTCTCATACACCTGAAACTAATATTATGCTATATGTTAACTAATTGGAATTTAAATAAAAAAGTAAAATAAAAACATCTCATCATACATTTTAAGTATTTTATGCAATCGTCTATCAGTAAAACTGCTCTTGGGGCATTTGGGTGTCTCAGTCAATTAATCCTCCAATGCTTGATTTTGGCTCAGGTCATGACCTCAGGGTGCTGAGATCCAGCCCTGTGTTGGCGTCAAGCTGGGCAGGGAGTCTGCTTAAGATTCTCTTTCTTAGTGTCCTTTGTGGACTGAGCTGGGGACCACGTGGCGAGGCCATAGGAAGACGGGAGCCTGGGAGCCCTGGCGCTGCTAGACCCGGGGCCTTGGCATCCCTCCCAGGGCCTCTCCATGGGTCATCCCACCAGCCACGAGGGGCAGGAGCAGGAACCCCACAGGTGCCACCCCAGAGCCTCAAGAAGAGGCCCTTGCCCGCGGCTCCGGGTCCCTGGCCACCAGCTGGGGTAGGGCCCCTGGCCGTGTCCCCTCCGGGGCGGGAGCAAGGTAAGGAAGGGGCTGTCAGATGGTGTGGCTCCCGGAGCAGGCCCTGGAGGTCACACCTGGCTGGTCCCTTGCTGCCCCCTCCTCACTGAGCCCCCGGAGGAAGATTCTCTTTCTCCTGCCTCAATTTAATTAAAGAACTCTCTTCTTAAAAAATAATTTTCAGCTCAGAAAGCTGTTTTGAGGGAAAAAGATGAAACACTCTATATTTTTAAAATCTCACAATGGTGCCTGATAAAGCCAGGCTGTTGCCAAATGGCAGGCCCCTACTGCCAGTTCCGACTTAGTGCTTAGCCTACAATACCCTCCTCCTTCCAAGTTACTCAGACAAGAAATCTCCTACTGGAGCCTTCAATTATCTGGCTTTTTAATCTTTTTAATCTTTTAATCACCTGGCTGTCACTTTATGGGCTCCTTCCTCTGGGAAAAAGTTACATTTTTACAGGTGTATTAGTATCTAGATGAACACAGTAATTACGTATATTCAACCTCAACGTTCCTTATTATTCCTTCTGATTTTAAAATAAAACATTTTCAGCACGCCTGTGTGGCTCAGTGGGTTAAGCCTCTGACTCTTGCTTTCAGCTCAGGTCATGACCTTCGAGATCCTGAGATGGGAGCTTTGCTAGGGCTCTGGCTCAGCTTCTCTCCCTCTGAGTCTCCACATACTCTCTCTTCAATACCTAAATCTTTAAAATGTTTTCGTGCGCCTTTGTGGTGAGCTGAATGGTGACCTCCAAAAACCTAAGCCCAGGGGCAGCTGGGCGGAAACCTAAAAACCTAAGTGGGGGGGGGGGGCGGCGGCTGGGCGGCTCAGCCGTTGAGCACGTGCCTCTGGATCTGAGGGTTGTGAGTTCAAGCCCCAGCTGAGGCACAGAGATCACTTAAAAACAAAACCTTCAGAAGAAAGAAAAATGTAAGTCCAAATCGCAATCCCCTGTACCTGGATATTCCCTCATAGGGCAAGGACGGGATTCGGTAAAGGCTGGAAGGGCTTACCCCGGACTGCAATTAATCCCACGCCTCCCTGCAAGAGACGGCAGCTCGGGGACAGCTCGGGGACAGGTCCCGTGCAGCCGTGGGAAGCCAAGGGCGCCCTGCAGCCACGGGGCTGGCAGCCGCAAGGAGGGCTTCTCCTCCAGCGCCGCCACGAGGGGTGCGGGCGGGTTCCCACCTCTCCTCCCCTCGTGGCCGAGAGGGGCAGCGAGGTCCTGGGTCCTGGCGCAGCAGCCGCAGCAGGTGCACGGGCTCCGGGCCTCCCGCGCCTCCTCGGCCCCGCTCGGCCCCGCGACAGGAGGCCGGGAGCCCGTGGGCTCGCAACGCCGCGGGACGAGGGGGCCCGGCCGCCGGAGGGCCGCCCCCGCCCGGGTACCAGGCTGCCCGCGTCTGCACCTGCGTCTGCACCTCACTAGCGCAGGAACGGCGCCCGGATGCTTCCGTCCCATTGGGCCAGGTGGGAGCACCTGCCCACGCCTGAGCCAATCAGCGCCAGAGGATTGCGGCGTGCTGATTGGCTGGGGCCTGGGCGGTGGGCGGCACCCGGGCGCTAGGTGAGCTTGCGTGCGAGGCCGGTCGGACTACCCGTAGGAGCAGGACAGGTACGGGAAGCCTGGGCGCAGAGTCCAGGTATCTGCGCTAGGGAACGAGGATGCCCCGAGTAGTCTCCGCAGGCCCCGCAGGCGCCCACGGCTGTGTGGCTCAGGAGGCGGGGTGCTCGGCAGCCCCTCGCAGCTCCATCTCTGCTTAAGGAAAAAGGAGCTATCCTACCTGGCCTGCCTGCGCCACCAGCTTTCTCCCCCTGTCACTGCACTCCCTGCGCGCCCGGCCTGCGGCTAATAAAACGACATTCGGTCTTCACATCACCACCCCATCCCAGGATGCAGGTGTTAGCTGCACGGGAGACAGGCTTGGGAATGCACGCACCTGTGACTGTCCACTGTCATACCGCTCGTAGGCGGTGGCGCTAGGATTGTGATCGGGGCTGCACACCCCCTGCACCGCCCGTGGTAACGGTGGGCGGGAAAACACGTTCTTTTTCTCCAAACTCCCCGCCCCCACCCCGCTGTTCCCCTTTCATACCTGGTTCTTTACCACCTCTATGTCTCTGCTTGAATTTCTCCCTGCTCCAGGGACCCCTTTCCTACCTTTTACATCCTTTTCCTGCTTACTTTTTTTTTTAAGATTTTATTTATTTATTCATAAGAGACACACAGAGAGAGGCAGAGACACAGACAGAGGGACAAGCAAGCTCCCTGCAGGGACTCTGATGTGGGACTTGATCCCAGGACCCGGGGATCACGACCTAATCTCAAGGCAGATGGTTCACCCACCACTGAGCCCCCCAGGTGCCCCCTTCTCCTGTTTACTTTGAAAGCTCCAGCTGGAAACCCATCTGACTGGCTTCACCTCTTGAGCCTCTCACTTTGTGCCTCAAATGTACCAAGTCCAAAACTGTATTCTCACGCTGACCCCTCAATCACACTGAGAGAAGGGTGCTTCTCTCTCCCCTTTTCCCCCCTCCCCACCCCCTCCCTCCATTTTCCCTGTCTGAGCGTCTTCACAGGGGCGAGGGTCATCTCTTTGTAAGGAGAGATTTCAGATTTTAGAATGACAAAAGTGATTATTGGATATTCTTTAAGCAGAATTCAGGGGACCTTGATAATCATTTGATTCCATGAGATGTGTGTCTTTGCACCATATCCTACTTCTGAAGAGAACAGACAGCAGGGAGCATCTGGGTGGCTCAGTGGTTGAGCGTCTGCCTTTGGCTCAGGGCGTGATCCCGGGGTCCTGGGATTGAGTCCCACGTCAGGCTCCCTACAGGGATCCTGCTTCTCCCTCTGCTTATGTCTCTGCCACTCTCTGTGTGTCTCTCATGAATAAATAAATAAATAAATCTTTAAAAAGAAAAAGAAAACAGACAGCAGTGCAAATAATTCTTGTCCGTAAATAATGCAAATTAGCTGAGTTTTGTGAAATACAGTTGACTATTGCCCGATGGATAGACTGGTTTTTGCAAACTCATGTCAGCATTCCCCTGGCTTCTCCTTTGAAAAGCTGGAACATCTTATTGCTTCATTTATTATTAAGTCATATAAAATCTTTGACATGCATTCATTTTACAGGTAGATGTTTATGAAAATCACTTTATTCAAAAAAAAATTATCCTTTAACACCTGACATCTCCTTCCCCACTCCTAATCCATCCTTGAACCTGATAATCTAAGTTTCTAAATGTCTCTTGTATCTACTCACGTCTCTCCATCTTACCTACTGTCACCAATTTGCTTGCACTGGCTGTCCTAGGCTCCTACTTGGCTGTCTTCCCATCTATTCCCCACACAGCAGCCAGAAGAATCTCATCACAATTCAAACTTTATGATGCCTCTTCTCTGCTCGACTTCCTCTAAAGACTCCCCATTTAATATTTATTTAGATCAAAGTCCTTGCTGTGTTCTGCTGACCTCTACATGACCTGGCCCCATCTTACCCCGCTGCCCTGCTTCATCGCCATGCTTCTGCTACACTGATCTTTTTCAGTTCCCCTGCCTCAGGACCTTTGCACATGCTATTTCCACTGCCTGGAAAATTCTTCCCTCCTGACCTCCTTACTTCTACTTGGCTTTTAGATCTCGGTGCAGATGTTAATCGCCCAGAGAATCCCTCTCTGATCTCCTTGGTGAGGTGAGGTCCCACCTCCTTCCCAGCACAATTCCACAATACCTTTGACTTCCTTATAACATTTATCTTGTTTCCTACTTATATATCTGTGTGATTATGCCTGACTTCCCTTCTAAGCTGGAAGGTCCCTGAGGATAAGGTCCATGTTTATTCTGCTTTCTGTTCTTGATAGAAAGAATGGTCTTCTCTGGGTGAGTACATGGGTGGGTGGGTGCATTGTGTATGATGGTTGGGTAGAGGAGTGAAGAGTGGATGGAGGCCGGAGAGGGTGGAGGATGCGTGGATGGGGGAAGAGCGGGGGGTGGGGGGGTGGACGATGAAGCTGCTGGGCCCTCAGTGGCCGGCCAGCACGGTCGCCCCCGCGAGCGGATCCTGGAGCCCCCCCGCCCCCCCCCGGCAGCGTCCGCCCCGCGCGCGGTCAGGGCGGGCGGCCCCCGCGCGGCCTCCATCTCGGGTGGGCTCCGCGGCCGCACCGGGCGGGGCTCGCGCCTGCGCCGACCCAGGGCGCGGCCGTGCCACGTGGGCGCGGGAGCAGCTGGGGCGCGGGCCGGCCGCGGCCGCCCACCCGGAGGGCGCGGGGCGGGGCCTCGCCGGGACCCGGATGCAGCCCCGCCCCCGCCCCGCCCGCCCCGCCGCGGAACCGGAAGTGGACCGGGCGCCGGGAGCCGCAGGCGCGGCGGGGCCGGGGCGGCGGAGCGAGTCGGGGCGGCGGTGAGCGAGCGCGGCCTCCTCTCGGGGAGGGGAGGGGGAGGGGGCGGAGGGGGCGGCTCCCCGGCGGGTGCCCTGGGCGCAGCCGGCCTCGGAACGGGAAGGAAGCGGCGGTCGCTGCGGTCTCGCCGCTCTTCCGCTCGCGGTTGCGGGCGCGGGGGGCGGGGTGGGGCGCGAGCGGGGGCTGGGCTCGGGGAGGAGGGCTCCCGGCTCGGGGGGCGGGGGGTGGGGGGAGGGGAGCGGGGGGAGGGGGGTGGGAGCCGAGGGGCGGCCGGGGTCCGCAGGGCGCACCTGCCCGGAGGTTCTGCGGTCGGGGCAGCGGGAAGGCCGCGCCAGGCGCAGCGGCGGCTCCTAGAGACCAGGGCCCTCAATCTGGAGCAGCCGGGCCTCCGGGCGTGTGGGGAGGCAGCAGGAAGGCCTTTTTGCACTGTTTTATGTGTTTGCGTCTCCTGATTCTCACGGGAGCTTAATCCCCCCGCTGGGGGGTCGGGAGGAGACGGGACGGGGCCCCCGTGAGCTGCGGCCTCCGGGGAGGAGCCCCATCTCCCGCTGACCGCAGCTCTGGAGCAGCCGAGGCGTCCCGAGACGGCGCTCCCCGGTCCCCCGACCCCCGGTCCCCCGACCCCCGACCCCCGTCCGGGCTGAGTCCGGGGTTAACCCCTTGGGTTCTGCCGCTGCCGGGTCTGGCCGCGGTCCGGCCGCGCGGAGAGCCACGCCCGGGTGTGGGGAGGCAGCCTCTGGTACAGGAGCTCGCCCAGAGCCCCAAGCAGCGGGAAGAGCCCTCAAGGTCACGCCCCAGGGCTCCGGAATAAGAGTAGAGGCAGGGGGCTGCAGACTCGTTTGCGGTACCCTGTCGCCCAGTGGTACAGCTGGCTTCTGGCCCGACCCTATTGATAGGCCTATCTTTCAAGCACTTGGAAGTGGTTATAATCTGTGGTTCTGATTTGCTGGGCGCCCACAGCACAGGTAGGTGCTCAGAAAGGGTGTGGTGGAGTGCCTGAGTCACTGGGAGCGCCGGGACTGCCTGGCCTGGCCTTGCAGGATGGCAGTGCGTCTGTCCCAGCACCCCCTGTCACACACTCACGCTGCACGTATGTGACTGTGCAGCCTGGTGCTCAGAGCCCGCCGAGCTGCACACCCAAGCTGGGGGGGGGGGGCTTTCCCCTGTGGAAGGGTGGTGTGAGGGGTGGGCCTGGGGGCAGCTGTTTGGCTGCTCCAAAGCCGCCTTTTTCTCCCCGCGTCTCTGCTGCACTGGAGATAGTGACTTTAATGGGAAGCTAGAAGTATCCTGTAGAGTTTTCTACTCGGTTTCTGTGGCTGTACCCGGTGACGTCACACTCGTGCAGACTTGAAGAATATGTGTGACGTTTGCAAGGAAGGTCTATTGATGGTGAGAAGTAGTTTTTGGTAATGGTTTCATTGAGATGCAATTCACACACTGTGTGATTCACCCATTTAAAGGATACGGGTAAGTAGTTTTGTAGTATACTTGCAGAATTGTGCAACCATCATCACAATCAATTTGAGAATGATTTTATCACCTCAGAGGGAGGGAATCCCTATTACCTCTCCTTCCAGCACGAGGCAACCAGTAATCTCTTTGTCTCTCTAGGTTTGCCAGTTCTGGATACTTCCATGTAAATGATGCTGTAATATTTGAGTTTTTGTGTCTGACTTCTTTCCCTTAACTTGTTTTCTACAGTCTTTCGTGTTGTAGAGTCTGTCAGGCCTTCACTCCTATTTATGGCCAAATAATATTTCATTGCATGAATGGATCACGTGTACCCACGTGGTGTGGGCATCTGCGTTGGTTTTGCTTTCTGGCTATTATGACTAATATTGCTGTGAGCATTCCTGGGCAAGGTTTCGTGTGCACATAAATTTTCCTTTCTCTTGGGTGAGTCTCTGTGGTTGGAGATTGGTTGGGGATTGGGATCCCTGGGCCAAGTGGTAACTGTGTTTAACCTTTTGAGGACCTGCCACACTGTTAACTCATTTTTTGGTCCCACCAGCACTGTGCTTGGGATTTCTGGTACCCTCCTCCAAGACTTGTTACAGTCTGATTTTTTATTTTAGCCATCCTGGGATGAGTGGTGTGGTAGCTCACTTGTGGTTTTGATTTGCATTTCTTTCATGGTTAATGATACTGAGTGTCTTTTCATGAGCTTAGTAGCCATTTATTTATCTTCGGAGAAATGTCTACTCAGAGGGCCCCCCCCCCCCCCCCCCCCAGTTCCCTGTTCTTAAGTTTTCTGGCTTGTGCTTTTGGAGGCCTATCTAAGAACTGTTGGCAGATTGAAGGTGATGAAAATCTATACTTAGGTTTTCTTGTGAGAGTTTAATGATTTAAGTTTAGCTTTGAGATCTTTAACCTGTTTTTTGAGTTAATTTTTGTGTGTGGTCTGAGGTAGGGTGCCAAAGGCCTTATCTTTAGGTCCAAGAAAATCCCAACTGTTTACATTTTCAGTTATTTCTGTGATTTTTTTTTTAATTTAAAACTTTGGGGGGGCAATACAATTTTTTGGGGGTAATACATTGTAGATTTGAGGCTCTCACTAGCTGCCCTTGGATAGACTTCTGTAGATGCTTGCTGTTTACAACACTAATCTCAGTACCTAGCATAAGCGGAGCAGCCTACAGAAGTTAGAGTTCTCAGGGGACTGAGGAGAGAGGAGTGATATAGTAGGGTCAGGAAATTGAATGTAGGGAAGGCTAGCAGAACACCAATCCTCCAGTTCCTAACGTGTGATGAGGCTGCATGCTGACGTAAGCGGCTTGGGCTTGTGTCTGGCTTGTTCCTAGGGAACGAGGGGACTATTCGTCTGCTCTGTAATGTCTAGCAGTACAGTGCTGGTGGAGGCTGTTGTCTCGTGTTGGGGGGGTGGTGGGGAGGTGGTCGTCGGTGCCTTGGGGGAATTGGAGTCTTGATCTCTGTGTGATAACCGGGTCTGCTCATTAGAGGCGCTACCTGCTTCTGCCCTGCTCCCCGAGTTGTGCCACTTCTCATCTAGATAGCCATCACTGTGCTGCTTTTGTCTCCGAGCCACTTCATGATCCCATCAGAGTTTTCCTTTTATTTTTTTTAGGCTCACAGTAATATAATTTTATTATTTTTAGCAAAGTCATAATTTAGAATGAGCAAAAAATGGAGACATGTAAGAATCATAGCCAACAGAAGACGGCTGCTAACGATTGCAGCAATAATTTCCGTTTGCACCAAGAAGAAAGTCTATACAGCTATAAATCTTCTGAAACTTATTATTTTCCGTAGTTTCTCAATGTGTCTGAAAATCGTTTGAGTTTTTAGGTTAGTAAAATGCAAATCTTGTCATCCTCCCTTCAGATTTCTTTACAAAGCCTTGTGAAGCGTAGGAGGATGTCAGTTTCCTGAAAGGACCTGCACACAGAAGCATTTGCCCAGAGTGCCTGTCAGTAGACTTCCTTCTGAGCTTTTTATTCTTCATCTTTTTACAGACAGAATCACTCCCAAATGCCTGGAAATTCCTCACCGGATCCCTGGGCTTTACACAGAAATTCGTGAGCAGCCTTTCGTCTTCAGCCGGAAAGAAAGGTTTGTGCATTTGGAGCGTTCTAATCTTCTCTCCCTCAGACTGTCAGGGTAGGTCCCTGAGGAAGGAGAGGAGTGAGTGTCCTCCCTCTGGGTCTGTGGAGCTAGGGACAGTAATTTCCTGGGAGGAAATTTCATGGTTTAAAAAGTAAAATCAAGGGGCGCCTGGCTGGGTCAGTCAGAAGAGCATGCAACTGTTGATCTTGGGATTGTGAGTTTGACCACTACGCTGGGTGTAGAGATTACTTAGAAATAAGTGAGTCAGTCCCGTTTGCAGTGTTGCCTGTGGTTTAGAAAGAGAAAGGGATCCCAGAAAACTCTGGAGTGCAGGAATAGGAAGCATCTCTGTCCTGGGAGGAACCACCTGGTCCCTTGTGCGTGTGTTGTGGAAGGTGGGAGGAGCTGCCGGTCATGATGGTAGGAAGCAGGTGCCAATGCTCACCCTGTCCTCTGAGGAGGCTGGCTTCCAGAAGGACCAGTGAAAATCGGCTCTGCCGTGTCCTAATGAGTCTACGAAAGCAACAGGCAGCGATCTCTTTCACCTTTGCCTTTGGGGGCAAAGCCTCTCTGGCCCTCCCCAGAGACCCTGTTCTCAGCAATTGGGACCTCAGTGGCTTGATGTGTGGGCAGCCGAAGTCGTGCAGTTGGGTGGCCTCTTTCTAGTGTGGTGCCAGGGACAGACTTGACTCCGAGAGGCAGGGACTGTGGGCAAATCACTTGACTTTCTAGCAGCTGTTCGTTCTTTTTTTTTTTTTTTTTAAGGTTTTTTAAAATTTTATTTTATTCATGAGAGACACACAGAGAGAGAGGCAGAGTCACAGGCAGAGGAAGAAGCAGGCTCATGCAGGCAGCCTGATGTGGGACTCGATTCCAGGACTCCAGGATCATGCCTGGGTCGAAGGCAGGCGCTAAACCGCTGAGCCACCTTGGTGTCCTGGTTATTTCATTTGTAAATGGGCATGTGCTCCTCCCAGGGCTGAGAGTTTAGTCTGTTTGCTCTTTAAAATCGTGTCAAAAGCAGATTACACCTGGGAAATTCTTCCTGTGCTTGGGACAGCTGGACAGAGGGAAGCAAGGTTTGAGGTGGCCTTGGAGAGACAGTTGATGCTGCCTTACACCCTGGCAAGCTGCTCCTGCCCAGGTGACAGTGGCAGGAGTCACATCTGGGAACTTGAGAGTGCTGTACACTGATTCGCTTCTCACTACCACCTGGAATCTGGACTTGAGGCCCAGCAGAGCTGGAGGCGGCGGGGGGCGGGGGGCATATCTAGATAGGTTCTTGGGCTCGTGGGGGGCTTTTGTCCTGTGTGATTTCAAGCCACAGAAGCACCAGTGTGGCACCACAGAAAGCATCCATTGGATGTTCTCAGTTCACACACATGGACAGAGCTTCGGAGTTAGAATAATTTTCCAATTGCTTCCTGGCCTAGGTGAAATTGTATTGATACTTCTGGGAAAAAGAAGTCCGTTCTCATAGTCTAGTTCTCTTAGGAGAAGGCTTGTGGTGTTCAGCTGTGAAGCAACTGTCCTTGTTCTGCATGCCAGGTAAAACCTTCTAGCCGGAGCAGAAAGGCTACAACCCGTCCTCAGGGCTGCCTGGTATGGGGAAAAGTTTGCATTTCATGTACTGGATTCTTCCCTGGATAGATGGTGAAGCGAATCTCTAATACATCACTTGAAACATTTATTCAGTTGTCAAAGTCTAAGTTAAGGAAGTCACTGTTACATGTCCAGTTAGTACTTGAATTCAGAATGGGTACTTTTTGTTTTTTTAAAGTTGTGGTAAGTTAGGTTTTACACTCAAAATGTTGGGTGCTTTCAACTGTTTGGACAAAGCTGTTTTCATGACTCAGTGAAGGAGGGATGTATTCTTAATGAAGTAAGCGCACATGTGGCTTTTTTATCTTCCAGAAAATTTTCTCATTTGAATTGAAGCCAGGGTTGGTCTGTCCTCTTTTCCTTTCTTTTCTTTTCTTTTTTTTTTTTAATTTTTTTTTTTAAATTTATTTATGATAGTCACAGAGAGAGAGAGAGAGAGAGAGGCAGAGACACAGGCAGAGGGAGAAGCAGGCTCCACGCACCGGGAGCCTGATGTGGGATTCGATCCTGGGTCTCCAGGATCGCGCCCTGGGCCAAAGGCAGGCGCCAAACCGCTGCGCCACCCAGGGAGCCCTTCTTTTCTTTTCTTTTCTTTTTTCTTTTTTTTCTTTTCTTTTCTCTTTTCTTTCTTTTTTTTTTTCTTTTTAAGATTTTATTTATTTATTTGACATAGAGATAGAGCACAAGCAGGGGGAGTGGCAGAGAGAGGAAAAAGCATACAGGGGCTGAGCAGGGAGCCCAATGGGGGGCTCAATCCCAGGACCCTGAGATCGTGACCTGAGCTGAAGGCAGATGCTTCACCAACTGGGCCACCAGGTGCCTGAAGCTGGAGTGTTTCTCACGCATGTTTTACATGCCATTTGAAAACAGTGTTAGAAATGCAACCTTCTGTTTCTTTTTTTTGTGCTTTTGTGGTCGGCGTGGGGATGATGCATGCTCCCTCGCTGGCCTAGCTACACGGCCCCTGAGCTGGGTCGGAGTTGGGGAGCCAGGGGCTGGGAGCCATTGGGTCAGCCTCCGTGACCCTGTACTCTGCTCTTTCAGATGTGGAAGGCTTCGGCAGGCCATGCTGTGTCCATCACCCAGGACGATGGGGGCGCCGATGACTGGGAGACAGACCCTGACTTTGTGGTACGAGTCATCAGCCCACCCTTGCTGTACTTGTCCTGAAAGTGGCTTTCCTCTGGTGCTCATGTGGGCCGTGTGGACTCTGCTGATTGTTTATTCTTCTTTTCAGAACGACGTGAGCGAGAAGGAGCAGAGGTGGGGGGCGAAAACCGTGACGGGGTCTGGGCACCAGGAGCACATCAAGTAAGACTCTCTCCATGACGGTGTGAAAATGGTGCCCTGAAAGGCGGAGAGCTGGTTGGGTGGGGTGCTGGCCCATGTTGCTCACGTGGTCCCCTGCTTGCCACGGGCATGTCATTGTGTCCAGCGCAGTGCCGCTGCCACACAAGGCAAGTGAGACGCAGTGACCTCCACCTGCACATGCATGTGCTCATGTGCGCAGTGACATCTGAGTCCCTGTTGCAGACGAGTCTCATGGTTACCGTTCTAGGGTCCGTTCTATGGGTAGTGGAGGTCTCCTCACGGGTTGTCGTTCCCTGCACTTGCCGTGCTGGGGGCACATTGCTAACACACACCATGTCTCTGAATGCCTGAGACCTGAAACATCCTCCTCCTGTTATTTTGTTATAATTTTACTGTTTTATCTCTGTCCTCTGGGTCCTGGGAGCCAGATTCTAAGCGCCTTGTTCCTGCAGAAAGCCCCACATAGGAGAACTAGATGATAGCCCTTGTAGGGGAATGTGGCCTTGCTCCCGACTTGATCCTATCATGAGCTGTCACATCTGCGGGTGGCGTTTCCTTGTCCGGAAGTGTAGATAAAAGCTCAGACTTATGTTTAGGTTGCACTGGCAGCAGAAAGTATCCTTCCGTCCCTGCTTATAAAGGACCGTCCCTGACCCAGTGGCCTGTTGGGGCTGTTGGCAGAGTCTGTCTTACTTGGCCCCACTGTCTTTCAGGAAAGTGAAGCTGTTCTTGGCTGAGAAAGAGTCAGTAAATCATGAAAGAGGGTGAGGTCTGGAGTGTGGGGATTTTAGACTCCAGAGTCCGTTCCTCCCTGACTTGCTGAGCCCACACCCTCCACAGAAGCCCCCAGAGGATGTAGAGAGAGAGGGCCCTGGGCCTGCCATGAGGGGGGCCAGCCTCATCGTGGCTCAAGCTGCCTCCCAAATGGGTTAAGTCACCTATTCCTCTCCTCATTTCCTCCATTCCCGTGGCTTTAAGACATGTCAGGTGTTGTGCAAGCTCTGGTAGAGCAGCCTCTGGGAATGTTCCAGGTGCCCTGTGGTCCTTCCGGGTGTCCTTCCTCCTCCTGCTCCAAAGAAGGTCGGGCAGTGGCCAAGCCTGGTTTGCTTTCTCGCTACACTTCTGAGATTGTTGTCCAGATGTTGAAGGTGCGGACGTGGTATCCCCTGGACATCCCAGAGGGGTGACCTTGTGCTACTCTGGCCTCCTGATGGTAGCAGCTGTAGAGGCTCCCTCACCGGCCAGGTTGTGACCACGCCTTGTGATCTCTTTGACAGTTCCCAGTGTTTGAAGTAAAAAACGGCTTTGAATGATAAATTCTGAAAGTCTTTGATTTCACCTTTGAATATTCAGAAAGTTGGGGTAGTTGAAGTAAAGGGACACTGTCTAAGTGTTTGGCCTCACTGCCCTCCATCAGTGTCCCCAGGGTGTCTGGGGTAAGGGGCTGCTGACTTGGTTTCCCCTTCTGCTTCGGGGTGGTGCTCACAGAACTGGTTCTTCTAGTCCCATTACCTAATGATTGAGCACTTTTTCTCTGTTTGAGAGAAAGTCCACATTTCAGGTTAGTGCCTGCGGGGGGTTGGGATGTGTCCCTGGGATGTGCAGATTAGTTTCTTTTTCCCCTTGAATGTGACTGGTTGCTGCTGGAGTAGGTGGGCCAGCTGGCAAAGGGGTCAGGAGAGCATGATGAGGGTGGGGACTTGGGAGCACGGAGTCACAAGCCCTGCAGGCTTACAGGGATGGCCCCGGTCCTCTTGTGTCCTCCTGAAGGCGAGGGTGCGCTTCTGTTCTGTCAGTTTTGTTTTTCTCTCTTCCCTTCAAGCATACACAAGCTGAGAGAGAATGTTTTTCAAGAACACCAGACCCTCAAGGAAAAGGAGCTTGAAACGGGACCAAAGGCCTCTCATGGTTATGGCGGGAAGTTTGGCGTGGAGCAGGACAGGATGGACAAGGTGAGTGGGCGGCAGCGCCAGCTCTTGACGTGCACATGGTTGGCAGAGTCGGTGCTCAGACCTCCTCGGACTAAACCTTTTTGGTCATTTGGGGGAGATGAGATTTGCCAAAAGGAGTCCTGTGTTGACTGACCTCACTCGTAAAGTGCTCCTGCTTTTATTTTTATTTTATTTTATTTTATTTTTTTTTTGCCTCCTGCTTTTAGAAGCTCTGAGGATTCTCACGGCTGCCGGGGTGTGGGTGACGCATAGGGAGGCCAGCTCTGTGACCAGGACGGAAGCCCTGCAGCCTCTTGACCGTAGGCGTGGACAAGGCCACTGCCTATAGCTGAGCTTAAAGCCTAACCTGGGCCAATCTGTGGATTGGAACCAAATCCAGGGGCTCCCTGGAGCTCCCTGGAGCTGGATGTCACAGCTGAACATTGAGCCAGCAGATGTGCTGGCATCCTTCATCCATTAATGACCTTCAGACAGGAGTCTGGCACTCTGGATGACACAGTCTCCACGCACAAGACAGGAGAGAGCCCTCACTCGGAGGACAGGGGGTGAGCCTCCCGTGACCCATTACCAGTAGAGTTTAGACATCTCGCTGCACAGTGGCAACATTGTTGACCAGATGCTTCGGCCTTTCATGGCACGGCATTGTGTGTCTTCTCCTTCCTGAGAGACAGGGAGCAGATGAGCTCTGGAGGGCTGATCCCTGCCCCCGGCAAGAGAATACAAAGTAGGTAGCAGTGTATTGAGTGCTTTTCCATTAAGGCAATTTTCTTTCTTCTTTTTTCTTAAAGATTTATTTATTTATTTATTCATGCTAGAGAGAGAGGCAGAGACACAGGCAGAGGGAGAAGCAGGCTCCATGCCAGGAGCCCAACACGGGACTCTATCCCGGGACTCCAGGATTGCGCCCTGGGCCAAAGGCAGGCGCCAAACCGCCGAGCCACCAGGGGATCCCCTTTTTTTTTTTTTAAGATCTTAATTTATTTATTTGAGAGAGAGTAAGGGAGATAGCGACAGAGATAGCAAGAGAGGGCAGGAACCCGGAGAAGAGGAGGAAGCAGACCCCTTGCTGAGCAAGGAGCTCAATGTGGGACTCGATCCCAGGACCCATGACCATGACCTGAGTTGAGCCCAGCTCAACCACTGAGCCACCCAGGCGTCCCTCCAATAGGGCAGTTCTTTACGTTCTCCAGACATCCTTGTAGACATGAATTTCCCAGTCTGACCCAGCAGATGCCTGCCTTTATTCTTTGTAGAAGGGAAACTGTCAGCTGATACTGAGTTCTGGTTTGTAATTCCAGACCTGTACCCCTACTCCCCGCCCTCATGCACAGATCGGATTCAGTGTCTGAGTGTAGAATGGCACTGCCGTGTCACAGTTTGCCATGCTGCACTGTGTTACTGCTGAGTGGATTGGGAGGGGTGCTATGGGCACCCCAAACCAGGTCTGCAATTTGCCTAAGCTGGAATTGGACCAGGGAAAGACACAGCTGCAGGAAAGACACAGGGACATTTCCTCGTGGGACTGTCATTCCCAAAGAGGTCTTGACAGGGAAAGTGGGGAGCAGAATAATCTTTAATAATTATTAAAGAAAAAAAAAAGCCTGGTAGCTTTTCACTGTGCAAACAGACCAAAACACCTATGTGCTCAGGACAGTGAAAGAATCAAGTAGGTAGAAGCTTTTCCCATCCCAAACAGCCTGTGGGACTGTGGGTAAGTAAAGCAGAGAGAAGTTGGTTCTCAGTCTGGGCCCCTAGGTCTGGGTTGGACATATGACATATTGGGGAAAATAGTATTGAGGAGGAGCCTGATGACAGTAAGATCTGGTGTTAACTTCTGGCTTCCCTGCTGCTCATGGGACTGCCGCCCTCACCCTCCTAGCATCTTGGCTCAGGCCTTTCTAGTCCCAGAGCTGCTCTGAGGAGCCCCTTCCTGTTAGCCCACTTGCAGCGTGCATATGTGTGCGCACACGTACACCCACAGACACACACGTGCCTTCTCCCTGTTGTCCTCCGTTCGGTGTGCACGTTGCCGCCTTTCCATGCAGGCTCTTCGGGGTTGGGGCTGGGACTGTCATCCTCACCTGTGCTTGGCCAGACACCACGAAGGTGCTTAGTGACGTCTTATGAGGGCCCAGGCCTCACATCTGGCTGATGCATCCACAAAGGCCAGGCGACTCAGCAAAGCGCTCTCATGCCTCTTGGGCTGATGGAGTGGATAGAGTCCCTTCTAGAAGAATCTAGGGGGGATCCCTGGGTGGCGCAGCGGTTTAGCGCCTGCCTTTGGCCCAGGGCGCGATCCTGGAGACCCGGGATCGAATCCCTCGTCCGGCTCCCGGTGCATGGAGCCTGCTTCTCCCTCTGCCTGTGTCTCTGCCTCTCTCTCTCTCTCTCTCTCTCTCTCTGTGTGTGTGTGACTATCATAAATAAATAAAAATTAAAAAAAAAAAAAAGAAGAATTTAGGGATGCTGATGTGGGCTCGTGGTTCCACCCTCTATGCTTTCACTAGCTCACAGTTCCTGGGGACCCAATTGGACGAGCTATCAGAAATAACTGTGATTCCCAGACCAAGTAACTTTGAAGTTATTTGTAACCAGTTCTTCTCGGAAGTTGGAAAAAGCCCTGAGATCTCTGTGTTAAGACTTGAGGACAGTGTGATAGAGACTTTCACAAGACCTGTGTCTCAGATAGACACATATCTTCCAGAGGAGTGTGGTCTGGGCAGGCGTGGCAGCTGCGGCCCCTCTCTGCATGGTTGTCAGGCTCCCTGCCTTTTGGCTTAGGCTCCAGCTGGCCATGGCCTAGGAAGTCGGCCTCATTCCTGGTCTCAGCTGCACCCGGAACTGGAGCGTGCATCCAGGCCTCAGATGATGCTCTGCCCAGGGCTGACCTTTGGTTACAAACATAACTTTGTCAATCGGGTAGATCTGTTTTGATTAAAAAAAAAAAGGAAAAAAATCTAGAAAATTGCGAAGCTGTCATTCTGGCTACATTTTTAGAAAAGTTTTCTTAAAACTTTTCTGTTGAGATTGATGTTGGGGGGCTCCTTGGGCAGGCTGCCCCTGAGGGTTGCTCTGTCACACTTCCTGGGTGAAACCCTGGAGGCCATGGGTGCTCCATCAGTCCTGACATGGAGCAGACTCGGGGAGAGGAGGCAGTAATGCAGCCCCGGAGTTCCCAGTAAAACTCCACTGCTTTTTCCCCTGGAGTATGATGAGAATAGACTCCTGGGTTGCTTGCGGAAGGTTGACAGCAACACTCCTGCTTTATTTTTTATTTTTATTTTTTTAAAGATTTTATTTATTTATTCATGATAGTCACACAGAGAGAGACAGAGAGGCAGAGACACAGGCAGAGGGAGAAGCAGGCTCCATGCAGAGAGCCCGACATGGGATTCAACCCTGGGTCTCCAGGATCGCACCCCGGGCCAAAGGCAGGCGCCAAACCACTGCGCCACCCAGGGATCCCAACACTCCTGCTTTAATTGAGCCTGAACTCCGGTGTCCTGTGAAGCTCTGGAGAGACAAGTGGTGGGGCATTTGTGGGGTGCTTTCCAGGACGTGTGACTGTTGGGAGCAAGAAGGAGGATTTGGAGGTGCCATCCCCATGCCCACACTGTGTCATAGGGCCCCACCGTCTGTGGTCGCTGTCCACTCTGGGGGCAGAGCCGGGTGCCGTGAGGCTGGGCAGGACTGGGGGCTGCTCAGGGTTTGGTAGTAAACATGTTCAGGTTCGTGGGCTGTGGGATCTCTGGCACTTTCCTGAATTTGGTGGCTGTATCTCAGAGGCGGTCTTACTGTGTAAATGAGCAGCTGTAGCTGTTCCAGAAGCTTTATTTACTAAGAGCTAGGTGCCTGGGATGGCCCAGAGGCCGTGGTGGACAGGGTCTGCAGCGGACAGCATGGCAGGCAGAGGGCGGTGGAGGCCACCTCCTCCCTCAGGAGCCTGCTGTGTGGAGACACAGTGGCACCTGCTCCTTGGTAGACTAGTGGCTGGGTGTGTGGTGACTGAAGGATACCCCGTCTGTGCCTCTGTTAGGAAGGGATTTCTTAAAAAAAAAAAAAAAAGGGAAGGGATTTCTGATACTTGTTTCCGAGTCACACACATGCCTCCCTTTAGCAGAGCAGTAACTATGTTGTCACCAGTCTCTGAGGGCAGGCCAGGTGTCAAGGGCCGGGTTCAGGCAGTAATTGGCCTCGGGGTTCTCGACTTAATGTCCGTCGTGTCCAAAGTCCCGGCTGGCAGGGTTTCTGGCAGCTCTAGGGACCCCATCTGTCAGCGTTCACACTGCCTGTGTCGTGGGGAGGAGCCAAGCCTGGGCCACTGGGGGCCAGTGTCGTGGGGTCTCTGCCTGGGGGTGGCAGGTACAACTGTGGCACCAGCACCTAACACGTTCACTCCTCACCATTTCAGTCAGCTGTCGGCCATGAGTACCAGTCGAAGCTCTCCAAGCACTGCTCCCAGGTGGACTCCGTCCGGGGCTTTGGAGGCAAGTTTGGTGTCCAGGTGGACAGAGTTGATCAGGTGAGTGAGGAGTCGTGGGAGCCAGTGCCCGGGCGATCGGGCTGCTCTCTCCAGACCAGGCAGTGTGCGGAGACTCTCAAGGTAGCTAGAGGTGCCTCAGACATGGCACTGCAGGGTGGGTGTCCTGACCTCGGAACTCCTAGAAGCCCCCCGACGGGGCTCAGGTGATGGACTGGCTGTGCTAGGAGCGGAGACAGGAACGTGGAAGGATCTTTTTTGCTATTTGCTGTAGAAAGAAAGCCTGCTGTTGGTATCTACTCATCAGGTGGACCAGGGACGGTCTTAGATTTGCCTGAGAATGTGCCCCTGGGGACTACTTCTAGCCACCCTCCCTGCACAGATGTCCCTGCGACAGGGCAGTGTTCAGGGCAAATGCAGCAGAGTGCCATCCCCGTGCCCGTTTCCAGGGCCAGGACCTGGTGTCCAGGTGCCCTTCTGGCACCTCTGGGCCTCAGCCTTTCCTCTGATTCACTGATGGAGGGCTGTCAGCACCTTTGTTTTCTGTCCTAGCAGTTGAGGACCTGGACTGTGCAGTTGCAGCCCAGTCTACATTCAGGCTTTGCTATTTATTAGTCGTGGTCTATTCTATTAGCGTCTGTTAAACAGGGTGGTGAAGCCCTGTCTCCCTGGGCTGAGCACGCAGAGGCCCCCACTGCACCTGTTCTCATTCCTGATGTCAGCATTGCTCTTGGAAGAGCTCATGTGGAAAGGTTGCCTGTGGTCATGGGGAGTCGTCCCAGGCTGGCATCGTGGGGCTAAAACCCACAAGCAGAACTTGCTGTGCAGCTTGGCCTGAGCAGCCCATGGGGCTCTGACGAATGTTTTATGGCCCGAAAGTGTCAGATGCCAGAACTTGGGGCATCAGTTAGACCTGCAGCTGCCTTAGGAAATCAGAGATCAAAAAATAACGTGGCTGGTGTTCTTAAAAATGTCTCATGTATTGTGGGCTCAGATGAACTGATTTGGAGGCACTTAAGAACGTGTTTCCTTTTTTTGGTAACTACAGTCTGCTGTAGGCTTTGAATACCAGGGGAAGACTGAGAAGCACGCCTCACAGAGAGGTAAGCTGTCCTGCAGACAGGAAGGCAGCCCTGCCCTGCTGCGCCGGGCCAGAGAGAGCACTGTCATCAGAGGTGGTTTCCTGGGGAGGACCATGTCACTATGGGGCTCCCCAGGCTGTGGCAGAGGCTGCCTTTTCTTCCTCTGAGCATCGTTGTACCAGGAGAGTCCACTCTCGGGCTCAGCTGGCAACAAGCTCACTTTCCCCCCAGCGTTGGAAACCAGAGCCTGAGATCACTGTTGTTTTACTGTGCGTGTGGTCCTCACGTGGTGCTGGCTAACCTTCAAGTCATGCCAGTCTTTTAAAGCCTCTCCTCTCCTCTCCTCTCCTCTCCTCTCCTCTCCTCTCCTCTCCTCTCCTCTCCTCTCCTCTCCTCTCCTCTCCTCTCCTCTCCTCTCCTCCCTTCTCCTCCCCTCCCCTCCCCTCCCCTCCCCTCCCCTCCCCTCCCCTCCCCTCCCCTCCCCTCTCCTCTCCTTTCCTTTCCTTATGGAAGCATGTTATTTTTTCAAAGTGCTTGGTGTACTTTTTGTGAGGTGGTTTACGTCTGTGTCTTGCGTGTCATTGGATGCCCTGGGGGTGGGCGCTCTGTCCATCTGGCCTGGCACGGACCTCTCTAGTCCCTTCGGCAAGGGGTTTGAGCTGCACAACTTGCTTTATTTGAACAGTTAATTTCTGCAGTGGGACCGCAGCTTCTTGTGCCATTGTGAGAGGCGCCACTCTTGGGGTTGCAAGGGATTGCGCTCTGGATGGAGTCTGGGTTCACTCCTGCATGGCCATGGGGGACTTTTAAACTGTGCGCTTGATCTCTTGCCATGTCCTGACTCCAAAATGTTTTTGTCTTGCTCAGTCGAAGAACCGAGGTAACAGTTGAGCCTGTCATCGAGTTTCTTTACTGACTGCAGCCCTGTCTCCTCAGACTACTCAAGTGGGTTCGGTGGCAAGTACGGCGTGCAGGCTGACCGGGTGGACAAGAGTGCCGTGGGCTTCGACTACCAGGGCAAGACGGAAAAGCACGAGTCACAGAAAGGTCAGGCCACTGGGAGCACCACTTCTCCCTGTGTGGGGCCTGCCTCCTCCCTGCTGCGCACTCACAGGTGTCCACACCAGGGATTTCTCTCCCCATGCCAGCTGGCTTGTGTGGCATTTCTGCTGTTTTTGTTTTTGTTTTTTTTTTTAACATTTTATTTATTTATTCATGAGAGAGAGAGGCAGAGACACGGGCAGAGGGAGAAGAAGGCTCCTCACTGGGAGCCCAATGGAGGACTCGATCCCAGGACCCCAGGATCACGACCTGGGCTATTGATCCACCCAAGCGTCCCTTCTGCAGTCTTTTTAACTGAAATTGTCAGAGGGCTCTTGTTCTGTTCAGGTCAGCATACATCTGCCTTTTCTGTCCCCATCTTGCAAGGAGGCTGTCAACATTTAACCATTCCTCTTTGGAATGTGAAATTTTGGTTATTTGCAATCTTTGAAGCTAAAAATCAACTACAGTGAATATTCTTGTTCCCTGAGTCTCATAGATTTTTAAAAAATGATTTTTTAGAAGAGTAAATTTCCCGAAACAGAACTGTTAGGTCAAAGGACGTTGAGTTTGAAATTTTGGTGGCTACTGCAGATTGCCCTCACAAGCTGTGCTGATTTTTCCCTCCGTCATTGGAAACCCTGCCTGGCGAGGGATGTCTCCATGAAGGGTTTATAGATGCGGTCCCCTCTTGCAGTGGCCCTGGATTGTTGGTTCTTCTGCATTATTTGTTTCATTTGGGCTTCACGTTTAATTTTTTTTTAAAATATCTCTACACCCAACATGGGGCTTGAGCTTACAACCCCGAGATCCACTGACTGAGCCATCCAAGCGCCCTTGTGCATTTACATTTTTAAAAATAGTTCCCAACATATAAAAACAGAACTCACATCTTGTTTAAAAACCCAGATTTCTTTAAAAGACAAATATAGGGACGCCTGGGTGGCTCAGTGGTTGAGTGTCTGTCTTCGGCTTAGGTCATGATCCCGGGGTCCCGGGATCAAGTCCCAAAGTGGGCTCCCTGCAGGGAGCCTGCTTCTTCATCTGCCTATGTCTTTGTCTCTCTGGCTGTCCTGAATAAACAAATAAATCTTTAAAAATACATAAATAAAATAAAAGACAAAAATGAAAATGCCCATTGGAAACACCATGGACATGTCAGTTGCCCAGGGAAGTGGCAGTGAGGCCTTTGGGGCAGCTGGGCCTCTAACTTGCTGTGGGTGTCACTTCCTGTCATACCTGGCCTGCCCACCCACCCTGAGGCCACAGTCCTGGCACACAGTGTGCCCCACAGGGTCTCTTTAGACTCTGTCTCTTCTACTTGGAGCAAACTTGTGCTCCTCTGCCCAGTATGGAATGCATGGTGCTCATCCGGGCCTGCACTTAGATCCCGCACACTGCTATTCAGATTTTCTCCGGGACATGCCATTGAGGAGGAATAAAAACCGTTTCTGAGAAGTCAGAGAGCAGAAGCCAAAGGGCGTGGGGCAGACAGGGTTCCTCTGCAGCCCTGGGCCTTCCCCCAAAGGGTTTGATCTTTGTGGTTTGCTCTGGGAATGTGGCCCTGATAGAGCCATGCTTTAGTATGGAGATATGTCGGTGACTTAGCTCTGGGTGGAAGTGATGGTTTCTGGAAGATGCTCCACGTCTGTCCTCTTTCTTTGAGGGTACTCCCAGCACACCTCTGCGGCTTCTGTTTATGAAGCAGAGTGACCATTTATGTATTTATTTATTTGTATTTTTTAAAGCTTTATTTAAAGACATAGCAAGAGAGAGCACCAGCAGGGGCAGAGGCAGTGGGAGAGGGAGAAGCAGACTCTGCTGAGCAGGGAGCCTGATGTGGGGCTCGATCCTAGGACCGTGAGATTATGACTTGAGCCAAGGGCAGACACTTAACCGACTGAGCCACACAAGTGCCCATAGTGACCTTTTAAAAGCTTGCCTCTATGGCTCTGGTGGCTCCTCTCAGTCCCAGAAGCTTTATTTTTTTTTATTCGATTATTTTTTAAAGATTTGACTTATTTATTCATGAGAGACAGAGAGGCAGAGGGAGAAGCAGGCTTCCTGTGGGAAGCCTGATGTGGGACTCGATCTCAGGACCCTGGGATCACGCCCTGAGCCGAAGGCAGACATTTAACCACTGAGCCACCCAGATGCCCCTCCCAAAGGCTTTATAACATGCTTGTTTTGTGATCTCTTTTGGAAAGAAGGAAAGATAGTACAGTTGTGAAAATCTGCTGCACTTACTATTCTTCATGTTTTTGTTGCTACACACACAATAACACTCTCTGGAGCGCTCTGTATTAGTGATCTTACAGTGTACCTGAAAGTTTTGGCCTGTGTGTTTTGTTTTTAACTGGGTGATAAAAGTACTTTCTCAAAGAATCGATGGCCTGCTCACTGATTTTGTTGCTGGTGTGTAAACAGTACTTTTCTTGTTTGCAGATTACTCGAAGGGTTTTGGTGGCAAGTACGGCATTGACAAGGATAAGGTAGACAAGAGTGCTGTCGGCTTTGAATACCAGGGCAAGACAGAGAAACACGAGTCCCAGAAAGGTGCCTCCCGTTCTCTCCTCTTCTCTCACCCACGGCTGGTAATGGGATGAGTGTTGGCCGCAACAGAAATGGAAAGCATAACCAGGAACCCCTAAAGTAGATGCTTCTTTTTAATTACGTTCCAAACTTTGAAATAGCAAGTCCAGAAACACAGCCACTAAATTAAGAAACCGTATCTTGACATGGCTCTGTCCTCAGTTCCCCAGCGATGGCTTGTCATAAATAATGGCCATGTGTTGTGCGTCTGTGTTGCAGATAAATTGTGGTGGCTCACTGGCTGCTTTAGGCCGTGTGCCTTGGAGCTTCTCAGGTGAGGTCCAGTCTGTGTTCACAGTCCCGAGGCTGCAGATCAGGCTGTGGTCCAGATGTTTTCATGGAGGTGCTCTTCTTGAAGGATGAGAGAGGGTGGATTCAGTGAGCCGTGTGTGTGTGTGACTACATGGGGAACATGCCCACTCCCTGCCACCTGAGCTCCCCACTGACGTGAGGTTGTGGCCTTTTCTTGTGCACGTAGACTACGTGAAAGGATTTGGAGGAAAATTTGGTGTACAGACAGACAGACAAGACAAATGTGCTCTTGGCTGGGATCACCAGGAGAAATTGCAGCTGCACGAATCCCAAAAAGGTACATTTGTTTTGCTTACTCCTACCAGAAATTGTTCTGAATTTTGTCTGTTCTCGTCCACAGGCCTATCAATGTGCTGTGTTTTTGCTACCTTTCTGTAGTGTGTCGTTTTTTCTCCACCGTTTGGGGTTGTCCTGTGCCTGCCATGTTTTTGAATAACTCCTCAGCCAATGTAGCGATTAGCCCCCTCCAGGAGCTGCTGGCCCAGAGGCTCTGTGCTCCCCTGTGCTCCTGAAACACCTGGTGGTGCCCAGGCATCCTGGGGAGCGCTGCTTTCAGCCCACTGATGAATTTTTGTTGATGAAGTGTGCAGGACGCTGCCTCCACTCAGAAGCGTGTTTGTGACAGGATGGATACCGTCCAGGGGACATAGACTCTGCGGGGTTGGGTGGGGGGCACCACCAGGGTTGACCCGGGCTTGTACCTGCCCTTGTAGCTGGCACACTGGGAAGTGGGGCTGACCCGCAGGGCCCCCATGATACTGGTGTACAACGTGTCTCTTTCTTCACACGCACAGAGATGCCTTCTCGTGTCTGCAGCGCGGGTAGGACCCCAGAAGGAAACTTCAAAGCATGGAGTGCTTTATCTGAACTATTTCAGATGCAGTTCCTAACCTGTTTCCAGGTTTTGGCTGAAGTACTAAGAGTTTCAGTTTGTCCTGTAACCTCGGAACTGACTTTGGACTGTCCACAAGCCCAGGAGCTGGCTCCAGCCCCTGAGCTCAGCAGGGCTCTGCTTTCTTTAAATGATGTGTTTGATTCTTGACCTTGCTCACACGATTCTAACCAAACTGTGTTTCCTTTCTTGGTTTTCTCCACTGTTGCTTGTGGATTTTCAGATTATAAGGCTGGTTTCGGAGGCAGATTTGGTGTTCAGTCCGAGAGGCAGGACTCCTGTGCTGTGGGGTTTGATTACAAGGAGAGACTGGCCAAGCACGAGTCCCAGCAAGGCATAGTCGCTCACCAGCCCTGCCCCCTGTCCCCTGCCTCCCCTCCCAGTGCAGCTACTTCTAGCACAGACTTCATGGGCTCAGCCTTCTCAGTTGCCCGCTCTTACTTGTCAGGGCACGTGGGTGTTTTAAACCCATTTTTATGAGGCAGTGGTGCTAACTTGCACCCCTTCTCGCTCCCTTCCCCTTTTTGCCCCTATGCCCTTTAAAACTTGTGTTTGGTAAGCTGAGGTGGCAGTTTGCAGGTTAATGTCACTCTGACCCCGTAATGTGACTCGTTTCTGGGGTGAGGTGTCTTTGGTCTCCCAGCAACCTTGTCCAGGAGCTCTTGCTGCTGACCTTGACCACTGTGAGTTACTGAGTGAGCTGCCCCATTGCCTCTGGGACAGGGGAGCATCTTTGGTTCAGCCTGGCCACGGGCCGTAGACCCAAGGTGAGGTGGCAGTGAGAGGCCCGAGGCAGGTGTGGTCTGTGTGGTTTCTGTGTTTCCCTCGTGGTGGTGTCTTTTCCCTGGGGTGGGGATGTTTTTTGTTTGTTTTTATTTTTTGGGTGACACCATCTATGTGTAACTTATTCACACAGAGCCAACAGTATGTCGCAAAGCTGAAAAGAGACAGGGCATTTCTAGGTATATGATATATTGGGACTCTGGCAGATGCCTTTTTCCTTCTTTAATTATCGTCAAAATTTGGACTGAGTTGGTAGAATGGGGAGCACAGCTGGAAAAGGAGTGATGATGGCCTGAGTTCCTGGGCAGAGTTCAGGCTCCTAGTGCCAGCAGTAGCCGCACATGCCAGGATCCCGGTGGGGCAGGAGCACCCACTTGGGTCGATCCAGCAGACTGCATGGACACGGCCTTGCTCTACGTGGCATCAGTGCTGCATGGCGGTGTGACTGTCACGTAGATCTGTGTTGCTGTGACATAAGTGTTTGGCTGGTAGAATTTTCCCATGGAATTGTTTTTTCTCTTAAAAAGCAAGAGAAGCCTGCGGTTGAGCCTCCTTTTAGCGCTCAGTAGAGCAGGACGTGGGAAGGGATGCGGATGGTCAGCCGTTGCTGGGCGGAAGACTGTGCTCTTGAAGCGGTGCATTCCCCGGCCCATGCTGTGGCCTCCTCGCCCTCACCGCCTGCCAGCCCGTGCCCGGCACCCTTTCTGTCCCTCGGGAGAATGCGGAAAGCATGCACACGCCTCTTTCCTGCCTCACGCCTGCCTGTCTACTGAATACCATTGGTAGAAACAAAACTCACCTTGCAAGTAAAGACCCATTGTGTGGCGGTTCTTGTTTCTTTTTGCGCTGGGTGCATTTTCTTGGGCTGTTTCTGGATCTGTCTGCATGCCTCTGCTGGCGGCACTGTGCTGGTCCTTGACCTAAGAGTAAGTGTTGTGTTGTGCCATATTTCAGACTACTCCAAAGGATTCGGTGGAAAATATGGGGTGCAGAAGGATCGGATGGATAAGGTGAGTATTTCTGACCCAGGGCTGAATGTTTTTTCCTGAAAGGTTTGGGGATTTACAGAGCTCTTGGTATGTGCTGCTGCTCTGTGGGTGGTCTCGGGGCTGTTGGCTCATGTTTTCAGTAGTATGGGTACTTGGATGGTGCTTCCTGTGTGCCAGGGCTGTCCTCTCCCAGTATCTGCTGTGAGGCAGATACTATCCCTGCCTGTTTTCTAGTTGGGCCCCGGCCAGGCAGGCTCCGTGCTTAGCCACAACACCAAGGCATGTGACTGGTCCACCGTTGGAACCGGGGCATTTAGCCTTTAGGCCAGCACAACAGCCCAAGAATGTGTGTTTGTCTGAATTCAAATTAGTAGTAAACCAGATTGGAAATTGAGTTCCTTGGTAGCAGAGGCCATGGTAGGAGAACTCATTGGCCACATTTGGGTGGTGGCTGCCATGTTGGAGCATGCAGATCCAGAACATCTGCCTTGCTGCAGAAGGCCCATGGGACGGGTTGTCTAGGGCCAGAGCCTAACTGCTGGGCTTTTCTTACTGCCTTCTCCTGGGGATACATTTATCCCTCTTCCCAGGGACTTTGTCCATTCCAGTGGCTTCAGAGTCTCAGCAAGTCAGTCTTAAACATCTGTTGGATGATGGTTTGCATTTATAGTCCAGCTCTGTCAAGAGTGTTGGGTTTATGGGCAGTGTGCAGCTGCTCCACTTGGAACTGGAAGGCCTCTGTCCCTTCAGTTCAGCTCAGCTGAAGGCCATCCCACCCAGGCCTATGCCTGGCTCATGGTCACCGATGACAGGGCTGGTCCTTCTGGAGTCCTTCCATTGGGCTCACAGCTGACCATATAGATGTTGACACCCAGGGGGCTCCACTACGTGGAGCGAGTAGGCCCTGGGAGCAAGTGGCAGGGTACAGGCTTGGAAAGGTATGGTGACTACCCAGGTTCTGATAAATGTGTACAGGAGATTCACAGTCAGGCGGTGACTTGAGGTCATACCTGAGAGAGGTGGGGTTGCTGGGACTTGTGTCTACATAGTTGCTGGGACTGATGGAAATGGGTGAGGGGTGCCTGGCAGGCTGGACTGAGGAATGGGGAACAGAATCTGCGCTGTGGAGGAGCAGCAGAGGGAGAGGGTTCTGGTCAGTAAGGAGGAGGTAGGGGTGTTGGAGAGACAGCACAACTAGGACAGAAGCCCCCAGGGTGGTGACAGAGACGATTCCAGGGAGTATGCTGGAGAATTGGAGACAAGGCAGGCTGTGGTGCAGCTGGAGCCTGGCAGTCACCCCTGAGAGCAGCAGGGATGGCTTGGTGACCCCCGGACTGGGGCACAGCTGGGTTGGAAGGACTTGTGTATGTGGAGGGTGGGGGGCAGGTAGGGTCTCGTACCCTCGTGCCACCTGTGCTGCACTCCAGGAAGGCATGCACTCCTCAGAGCACTGCTCACCCTCAGCTTCATGCAGCCAGGTGAGCTTCAGCTACTTGCCTCCTCCAGGCCCTTTTCCTCCTCATGTTGTGAGTCCGAAAAGCAGCAGTGTCCTGAGCCCCTGTTGTGTTTTTCCAGGAGGTGTTTACTCACAGGGAAACTGAGGGTGGCCGGTGGGGCCTGTGAACCTGTCGGTGTGCATCTGGGTGGACAGTCTGCTTTGCTCTGGCAGTTGGATCCCCTGCAGAACAGGAATAGGGGATCTCCCACATTGGGAAATGTGGACGGTCGGGCCCCGTGAGGCTCCAGCATGGCCCAGGGTGTCATCTCCAGCAGAGTGGAGGCATTGGGGCTCCCTGCAAACACTCAAGCCTCTCTTGGTGGCCAGGGAGAGGGGGTTTGAGAAGAGTACATACTCGGGTCATGATTGCACGAATGCCAACCTGCATTTTTGGAGTGGGGGGGTTTGTTGACCGCCTTTCAGAGCAGGTTTAGCAAATATGGGACGAAGTCACTGGTTTCCTGTACACCCCTGCTTTCGCTCATGCACAAACTCTCCCACGACCAGTTACCAGCACCCCCAGGGGGGATGTGCTTGTTACAGCCCACAAGTCTGTGCACACACGTTTGTTGCCCAGAGTCCTTAGCTGACATCGGGGTTTGCTCTTGGCATTGTACCTTGTGTGCGTCAGGACAGATGCTTGTACCCTCCCGTGCAGTGTCATATGGGGTAGTCTTACTGCCCTAGCGCTTCCATGCAATGGCAGAGAGGTGGATATGAGACGCTGGGCTCCCTCCATGGTTCTTTTGGAAGCTCCGGGGGAGGCAGAAACCCTTTCAGGGTATGGAGAGTAAGAAAAGTGCTCCCCTGATTTCTTGCTTCTGTCTTGGTAGAATGCTTCCACATTCGAGGATGTCGCCCAGGTGGCCCCTGCTTATCAGAAGACTGTCCCTGTCGAGGCAGGTAAGTTGTGGCAGACACCAGGATGAGCTCCTATGCCATGTAGTGTTACCGTGGTGGGTACCATGCAAGCTGGGAGCAGCTGGAGAGCACCCTCGTTCTGTTCACTTTGAGGAAGGGATTTTGCTACACCTTTATGAAAGGCCTGGGTGTCCTGCAGATGCAGCATGTTGCAGCACTCTGGCAGCAGGGGATTGGTTTGGTGGGGTGCCTCCCAAAGCAGAGCTGGGCTAAACGCCCATCCACAATGGCCCTCCTCACTGCTGGGGATCAGGTTCTGGGAGGTTCTTGTGGCCACAGACCCCCCCCTGCCCCCAGCTGGCCAGTTGGGCCAGTCAGCTACGGCTGTGATGTGAGGAGTGTGTTACTCACCTATGTGGAAGCTGAAGTAGATGCTCTTGCCTTTTCTTTCTGCGGGCCCTGTGCAAGGCTGCTGCCATGAGAGAACACGCCCTATACCTGCTTCAGCCGCATGAGCCACACTCTAGGAGTATCCCTGAGTTGGGGGAAACATAGAAAGTGGTAAACAGACAATGGGCAGGGCATCCTTTTTGTTTCCTGTGGACGCCCTGGGTCAGTGGTTCCCAGACTTGGGGGTGTCCGAACACTTCAACACTCATAGGGATCGTTTGTGGGGCTTGTGTCTCCTGATCTTTGTTGTAGTGGGCTTAAAACAGAAGAATTTGAGATGTTATTAATTCGCTTAAAAACAACGAAACATCACGTGTTAATGGTAATACTATTAATGGAAGAAGTAACTGCATTCTCAAAACAAAACCCTTGCGGAAGCGTGGCATTGCTTTGCTGTCCGTAAATCTCCTTAGTAAAAGACCTTTGTTGTTAGAGCTGGTTCTGCATCTGATCTGTTACGGTGAACTATGTTTTGGAAGAAAATCTGGACTCCCCCCAGATACGCTGTTGGAAAAGAGAAGGGCATTACTGTAGCTTCTCCGGTCACCACGGATGTGCCTATGTGATCCTGCACTGGGACAGGCAGTGCTTTCCTGCTTCTCTTAGAGGGTAGACTCCTTTATAAACTGCGTGGTTCTCGAACACGCACTGGACATTTGCAAAGTACTAGACTGTTGAGCTACGCCAAACTTCCAAATGTGTTTCTTTTCAGTCTTTGGTACCCCCAATTACATTCATTAATGTTATCAGTCGTATTAGAGTCCTCAAGTGAAACTGAGAAATTGTCAAGTTTTCTACAATTCTGACTTTTCTTGAAAGCTTGATTTTTTTCCCCCATGACAACAGATACTGCCGTTTTCTTGACAGGATAGACTGAGTTTATTCATTATAGAGAGAATGTCTGCCAAGTACCAAAAGGCACATATCCATAGTTTGTCATTTACTTGTGTTCCATGAAAAATCAGCATAACTTGCAGCTCAGCACACAAACGGTTTTCCTCAAGCCACCACGGAACTTGTGTGTATGCCCCCCTCCCATCCACCACAGGAGATTGGCAGGTGTATGCTCAGGGCTTGAGATTTATAGAATATCAATGCTTCGTACGGTGTCCTCAAAGGGCATTGTTAGGGAAAATGTCCTTTTTCCCCTCCTAAATGTGTGCTGGTGAAGTACTGTTTGGAATGTAACAATATTCCAGATACCAGACTTCGATGTCCGGCAGTCCTGCAGAGTGTGCAGTAGATGGAGGCGCATAGGCCAGTCTGGGACTTGGGGAGGTGACCAAGCTGGGGGACGCTTCCTTGCCAGGCTGGACCCCGAGGGGCAGGCCACCCTGGTGCAGGGTTTTGGTTGTGGGAGAGACAGTGCCACTCTGACACCAGGCGTGCATCTTTCCTCCCCGCTGCAGTGAACAGCAGAACAAGTAACATCAGAGCCAACTTTGAAAACCTGGCTAAGGAGAAGGAGCAGGAGGACAGACGGAAGGCAGAAGCGGAGAAGGCCCAGAGGATGGCAAAGGAGAGACAGGAGCAGGAGGAGGCCCGGAGGCAGCTGCATGTGAGTGTGTGTCGTCCTGGGCCTGTGGTCTAGAAGGTTCTCAGTGGAAAACGTTTTGAAGCCTCGTTGGAGGCTTGGCTCCTAGGAACTGTAACTCTCAGCCACATGTACTAGCTGGTCAGCCTTGCTGCTCCAGTGCCCTGGTGACCTGCAAGCCCACTGGCCTCTGAAATTCTCCCTCCTCTGAGACCCAGGCCAGATGTGTCCCTGACAGTCTCTGTTCTGTCCTGTCACCCTCTGGAGCCCCTGTCTCGTGGAGAGAAGGCTGAGATACAGAAGGAACTCTGTGTAGGGCATCAGACCTGCTTTCTGCTTTCTTTTTCAACTCTTGGTGCTTTCTGTACCTGGGTCTCTTGCGTTTATTTGTGTGTGCTTCTTTGCCCTGCCTGTCTGCCGGAGGAGGTTGGCGCAGGGGCTGTGGGCGGTGAGCAGGAGGGCCTGCACGGCTGCCTTCCCCAGGCTTCTCTCTGAGCCTGGGTGTCCACATTACCCCCTGCGGACCAGGCAGCCTGCGCCCAACAGCTCCCCGTGCTGTGGCCTCAGGCTCTGGAGCAGGATGAACTCCCACCTGTTCTTGGATAGTTACAAAGTGAATCAGAGAGAAAACCCATGGAGTTCTTCCATAACTGGAAAGCTTTGTTCCACCCTATAGACGTCTCCTCCCCAAAATCAGTAGTTAGGGCTCGGAGAACCCCTGTTGGAGGGGAATGGATGGTTGAGGTGGATGGTGCAGTGGGCACCAGAGATGTGAATTAAATACGCCCTGATGGTTGTTTCATCACACACAGAAGAAGAACAAATTTGTAGAATTACCTCTTTTTACTGTTCCATAATCACTAGAAACTTTGGAAGAAGCCTAGAAGTTCGGTTTTCTTTATTCAACACATGAGTATTTACTCTAGAAGGCGCTTTTCTTGATGTCTTGGTCTTTTCAAATAATTAACAACGCCTTGCTCATGTTATGTCTTCAGGTTGTAACTGCCGGGTCCCATCAGCAGGAGCAGGCAGCTTGCAGAGGGGGAGGGCATCGCCGCGGTTCTGTCCTCGCACCTTTCTCTGGCGCTTGCCTCGGCAGCACATGTACTAGCACCTTTTTCTGCCCTGTCTTACTGTTCCTTCTGTGCATTGTCCTCCGCTTCCAGCCCCTGCCCTTCTCACCTGCTTGTCCCTGTGAGCCAGTACCCCCTCAGTCCTCACTCCAGAGTCCTCTTGGCCGGGGGTGGGGCTCCCTCCATTGGCGGGTGGGCAGGACGTCCGTGTGGGTCCAGGTGTGCTGGACTCTCATGTCTTGGCTGGTGGTGAGAAGGAACTCTTTGTAGCCAGCCAGCTATGAGAGGGGCCGTCACAGACCTCTGTACAGTGATTCAGGTGTGAACAGCAGCCCGGGTGTCCCCAGACCTGGGTGTTTTGGGCTGTGGGTGGATCTAAGTAGTGTGTGAACTGGACTGTCTGGCTGGTGCAGTCGGGGCCAAGGATGGTCCGTTCCTGCTTCTGTGGTTCCCCGGCACATGCCCTCATGGTCCTCCCTCTTCTGCTGTCTGCAGGGGTTTTCTGGGGCTACCATCCCACACGCCCCTAGGCTCTGGCTTAGAGAACACTTGTGTACCCTCTCAGTTCTGGAGGCTCCAGAGGAGACCTGTCTTGTGGCCTTTCCCAGCTTCTGGAGGCACCCGCGTTTTCCTTGGCTAGGGACCCTTCCCAGCCTTTGCTTTCGTGGTCATATCTTCTGATGTGTCTGTCTTGTGCCTCCCTCCCTCTGAGAGGGAAGGGCCTGTGGTTACGTTGGGACCACCAAGAACCTGAGATGTCTCCTACCTCCTGTCTGTGACTCCTTCCAGCCTTAGTCCGTTTGACCCTGATGCCGCCTCCTCCCAGGATCTGGGGTCTGGGGTGTCTGTGTCTTTGAGCTGCCATTATTCTGTCTACTACAGCCCACTACCTGGCCCCTAATGATTCCTGTCTGTCCTACATGCAGCACACACTCATTCGTAGGTCCCCAGAAATCTGTCACTACAGCAGCAGCTCAGCCTCCAGGTCCTCATCTGGTTACTGTGAGGTCTGGGCAGCTCACTGGGCAGCAGCCTGCCTGTTGCCACACAGCTGCGTGTACCCTGTGATTTATGTGGTGGCAGCAGGAGGACAGGGGCCCCTGAGGTCCTGTGTTTTGTTCTTATGGTCATGGGTGCTGAGTCTCCATGCTTAGTACCCCCCCCCACACACACACACACACACTCTGCTCCAGCAGTGCTCTGCTGTACTGTGAGCCCGGGTGGACCTTTTTCTGAAACTGTGTTGAGGCAACCTGGTAACATTCTGCCACCTGTCTTTGTTTTCAGGAGCAAGCCCAAGCCCAGGCCCAAAAGCCAACACCCCCTGCATCCCCGACTCCTCAGCCAGCTCAGGAGAAGCCGCCTCCAAGCCCTGTCTATGAGGTTGGTGTTTTCGTTCAGTTTGCAAATGAGTCTGACTCCCCATAGATGCTCTTCTCAGGTCAATGCCATTATGCGTGGGGCAGCAACCCTACCGCACTCTGCCCAGTGCCACAGCTGGGAGGACGGCCTAAGGAGTAGCCCTCCTGAGCACTAGAGGGTGCATGCCACATGCTCAGTCTCTCCCCATGTGCAGGGGCCCCTCCTCACCCAGCCTGCTGCCTCCCAGTCGGGTCTCTTATCGCCGTGTAGACCATTTCTAGTCTTTATCTTACTCTCTGTTACGTTTGATACTGAAGATACTCCATCCTGGAAACCCATTTCCCGGCACCCGGCTGCCGTCCTCCTACATGACCTGACTTCACCAGTCGCCCTCACCAGCTGTCCTTCCCTCAGCCCCTCCTGAATATTCCCCAGCGACTGTCCTTGGCCCTTACCCTCATTCCCATCATCAGTGCCTTGTGACTACCTGCCTGTGTTCCTAGGACCTGTATCCTCTCCTGGGCTCTGAGTTACTGGGCTGCCTGCCTCACCATCCCTCACTTGCTCTCAGGAGCACCTCCTAGGTGTGGTCACTGCCTCCGTGACCACACCTAGCTGAGCCCTGCATCCTGTCCCCTCTGTCCCCATGGCCACTGTCCTGGTTCCGATGCCCTTCCTCTCTCACCGGGACATCCTCAGAGGCCTTTGGGTTGTAAGGAATAGAATCTACCTCTGCTTTGCTGACACTGAAAGGGGTGAGCCCTCTGGGTAGCTCATGATCCAGGAGAGCTCTGGGCAGCAAGCCTGGGTCTCTGGGGTTGTCCAGGGTCCCATTGGCACCAGGGCCCTCTCCAAGCTGCCGCTCCCTATGCATGGTGGCTGTGTCCTCCTGGACTCGTAGACATTGTGGCACGGCCTTGTGGCTCATACCCAGTGGCAGGAGGAGCCTTGAGCCATCTCCCCTTGTCCTGTTCCACTGCTAGGCCAGTAACTGAGGAGTTGGTCCTTTGAAAAGGTTGGCATGATGTGCTGTCCTTAACGGGAGTACAGGTGGGTCTGTTGACCAGCACCTCTGCCAGAACTGTGTGGTACACCAGGGGCAGAGGTACTTAGGCCAGAAGACAGGGAATAGGGACCCCCACACACACCCCCAACCTGCTCAGGATCTGCTGGGCAGCCAGCATGGTGCCCCCACACTCATCACCCAGCCTCTAACCCTCTAGGGCATCATCTGCACATCCACGGAGACACACCCAGAGGAGGCTCTGGGTCTGTCCCTCCCTTGCAGTTTGACCCTTGTGTGGCTCCAGTGCCTGTCCTGGATGCTGAGTCCCCTTTCCATGGCCTCCCTAGTGGCTCTCACGGGCTGCCTGAGCCACAATAGTCATCTGCCGTTGAAACCCAGTGCCTGACCCTGCTGGTTCTTCTGTATGTCCCCTGCTCATCTGACCCCCAAGGGTGCCTTTAGATGGAGCCTGTTTGGAATCACAGACTAAAGCCACTTCAGTTAGGGTTACAAGTCATGATGACTGAACAGCCTGGTGCTGATTCTCTGAGCATATGTGCTAACTCGTGGCTTGCTGATTACTTTTCCCTTCCCTTCCCCCAGAGGATTTGGGGAGACTTGAACCCCACTGGCTGGGGATGGGGCTGCTCTGGGCGGTGCAGTGGGTGACATTGTGACATTGCCATCAGAGGCACGGCTGGCTGGCTGGTCCTCGGGCACATCGGGCAGCCTCCACAGCCTGGGCCTTTACACATGGGCCAGACCTGCCCCGAGTCAGCCACAGGCCGTGTGGTTTAATCACTGTAGGACTTTAGGGTGACAGTGAGGTTACTCAACAGGAAATGGCATGTGCCCCTCTTATTGGTGCCATGCCATGATTAGAACCCGAGCATTCTCAAAATGTTAGCAGGTAATGCCTCCTTATCCGCATATCCATATTGCGGATCCCCTGGAACTAAGAAGTAGTCGCGTATTGGTGACCTGGCTTGGGCCACAGGAAATGTCTCCTGACCCTTCCCTTCCCCAGGACGCAGCTTCATTCAAGGCTGAGCCTGAGCCCGTGTACAGCATGGAAGCCGCCGACTACCAAGATGCCAGCAGCCAGCAGGGCCTGGCCTATGCCCCTGATGCAGTCTATGAGGCCACAGAGGCCCCAGGCCACTATCAAGCAGGTAGGGGGCAGGGTATCCCACCAAATCCCCCTCTGCTCCTCCGTGCGAGTGACATCCAGCTCTCTGACTGCCTTGCCTTGCCTGTGCTTGATGCGGGGTCCTCACCTCCCTGCTGAGAGGGTGCCAGACGCCCTGGGGCTTGGCATGGACTCTCATGGGGGCTCCAGGAAGGCCCTGGCTGCTCTGGGGGTGGCGGGTGGGGTGACTGTGAAGGAAGGGGCCTCCGCTGCTCCTCAAAGTAGGAGCTTGGGGCAGAGCCTGGCTCCATGAAGACAGCAACTTGATGTCCTTAGAGATGATTTCTGTTAACTTAGAAAATTCCATAGATGTTTCAGTGGGACAAACACTGAAATCAGTTTCTTATCTTTAAAGATAAGGTTTCCTTCAACATACTTGGGCAGATTTAACCTTAATTCATTAGAGAGCACAGCTCAGGACAGCGACTTAGCTTTTCCCTGAGTGTGATGTGAGGCATTTGGGCAGCGCAGCCTCCTTGCCCCACTGGCCATGGTCTTGCCACCATGTGATCCCTCCTTGAAGTACTAAACCTGTAAAATTTAAGACCCCGTCCTCTGAAGCTGCCCCAGTACCCGCCCAGATTGTCATACTCGCCGGCTGGTGTCGGCGTTGGGAGCAAGGGGTTTGCTCCCTAAATCTGGGGTCCCTCTTCCTGATTTGCTCACGGCCCCATCCCCCTCCCTCCTCAGCAGCTTTTCTTCTGTCCCAGGAGGGCTGGCTGACAATGTTGAGATGGCTCAGTGCACCTGTGGCACTTTGGCTGACCCTCAGCTCGTCTTGTTTTATTTTTAGAGGAAAACACCTATGACGAATATGAAAATGACCTTGGGATCACGGCCGTCGCCCTGTATGACTACCAGGCTGGTGAGACTACCCGCGTTCCATTTTGGTGTTCATTTTCTACTGGTTCCACTCAGGAATTAGACTCCTAGAGCTTTATTACAACTTTTAAGAAGTAACTTATTTTGAAATAATCTCAGAGTTACAGAAATTCCGTTTTTCTCTCCATTTTTACACATCCCTGAACCTCAGGGGTGCCCCAAGCCCCCTAGGGATCCCAGTGTGAGCTCTCCAAAACCGAGGACACTGGCCACTCCCCTCTCCAAGTGGGAAAGTTAGCCCTGAAATGTCATGACGTCTGCAGACTGCTCATGTGTTTGCCAGCTGTCCCAAGCCCCCCTCGTTTGGTCAGGCCGGGTCCCTCCAATCCGCCTGTGGCCTCTCATCCTGGGAGGACCTGCAGTTCCCCTGAGGCTGTGCTGTGAGGACAGGGTGGACCCGGGAGAGCTTCCTTCTCTTTACCATGTACCCTGCTGGGCACACAACATGTTCCCCCATGTGTCTCACAGCGGTGTCCCCACCACCTCTGGTCCAGTGTGGGACACTCTCCACCGCAAAGCCATTTCTCCCTTTGCTGCTAGAGGGCCGTTTTGTGGACCTTCCAAGATCATACTCCTCATCCTCAGGCTGCCAGCCATAGCACCGGACAGGAGCTTTCACCTCCTATTTACTTACGTATATTCCACGTATTTATTTACACGGGTGTGGAATTTGTGAAATTTGGCATCTGTAATTATTACAATGTAGTGAGTTTATCCTTGTACCTGCTGTCCCAGTCCGCGTCCTTGGGCTCCTTCCTAGGCTCCCCTTTGAGCTTCGTAGGTACCCTCTCCAGCGGGAGAATGGGAGAAGTCTGGTGTTGGGGAGCCTGGGTACGTTCTGTGTGTCAGGTGCTCAGGGCAGGTGCGTGGAGCGGGGGGAGGGCAGGGCAGGTGGAAAGAAAGTTGTGCTCTGCCTCCCAGCTAGGGGCCACCAGTCCCTCCAGCAGCTGCCAGAGCATGCTCTTTCCAGCAGACCGGCCACACCAAGTGTCAGAGTGTCACCGTCCTCTCTTTCCTGTCCTCTCTCCTAGCGGGTGATGACGAAATCTCCTTTGACCCTGACGACATCATCACCAACATAGAGATGATCGATGATGGCTGGTGGCGTGGGTTGTGCAAGGGCAGGTATGGGCTCTTCCCAGCCAACTATGTGGAGCTGCGGCCGTAGGGCACCCGGGGACGGAGGCCAGAGTGCAGAGCCCAGGCAGGAGGCCGCTGTACATACTGCTTTTATACATGATGCTTCTGCTGACACTTTGGAAATGCTCATGCCACAGAATTTGCTAATATATTGTAATCATGCTCCTTAGGAGGACTCCGGTAATCGATTTTATGCGTTTAAGGCATTGTCTTTGTTTTTGCCAAATGGACTGTCGTGTGGAGTCACTTGAGGGACCCTTAGGTGTCCTGAGTGCATGCTGGCCTTGCCCCCATTGGCAGCAGGCGGGACCCTGACACATGCTACCTGTCCTCAGACCGGCTGTATGGTGTTGGGTGGAGTCCCCGTCCTCGGAAGAGGGAAGCCTGACGGGAGGTTAGGACGATGGGCAGGGGTGCAACGGGCGGCAGCTTTAACTCCAGGTGGGACAGCCTTCATGTTTCCCCAGACGGCTCTCCTCTTCCCCTCTTCACCCTCCTGGTCGCCTGGTGCCAGGAGGGCTCGCTCCTGTCCCTGCTCCCACCTCCGAAGTGGTGTCATCCAGTGCCACACACACTGCCCTCCGGCGTGGCCTGTTGTGTGGGTTTGAGGACCTCGAGTCGCCTGCACGCGGCCCCCTGCAGCTGGGCCCTGTGTTTGCTGTGTGAGAAATGGCCCTTTGTTGCGGGCAGGCAGGTGCCTTCTCTGCCGTAAACACCAGAAACATTTTTCCATCAAGGCAGTCATGTTCTCTGTGCTAAAATACCACGTCAGGTGAGAGGAAAATGTGCCTGATTCACTTGGCTGAAGCATGAAGCAGAGAGTGATTCTCCCCCCAGGATGCACCCTGTGGACACTGCATGGGAGTGCATTGCCCTCCTGAGAGCTGGGGAGGCCAGGTCGGCGCCTGCGACAGTCAGGGGTGGTGTCTTTCTGGAAGATTCTGTGTCCCGGGTGTCTGGGACATTAGCGTCTACTTCCTGAAGCGCATTTCTGCATAATCCTTGCTTTACCACAATTAGGTCGGGTTTTATATGCAATTACTGTATCTAAGTTTCTGTAGCACACATCATAGGTATGATTTTTTTAAATTAAATATTCAAAATAAACTTTTTTTGATCCACTTGCTTGGTGATGTCCCTTTGGTATTGGTCACTTTGTTTTACGTGGAAGATGGCTTCCTGACTCTTGACTTTTATCAGCTTCAGATAAACTAAAGATTCCATTTGGAGGAGGCATGCTCCTTAAAAGACACTTTTTTTTTAAATAAATTAATTTTTATTGGTGTTCAGTTTACCAACATACAGAATAACACCCAGTGCTCATCATGTCAAGTGTCCCCCTCAGTGCCTGTCACCCATTCACCCCCACCTCCCGCCCTCCTCCCCTTCCACCACCCCTAGTTCGTTTCCCAGAGTTAGAAGTCTTTATATTCTGTCTCCCTCTCTGATATTTCCCACACATTTCTTCTCCCTTCCCTTATATTCCCTTTCACTATTATTCATATTCCCCAAATGAGTGAGAACATACACTGTTTGTCCTTCTCCGATTGACTTACTTCACTCAGCATAATACCCTCCAGGTCCATCCACGTCGAAGCAAATGGTGGGTATTTGTCGTTTCTAAAGGCTGAGGAATATTCCATTGTATACATAAACCACATCTTCTGTATCCATTCATCTTTCGATGGACACCGAGGCTCCTTCCACAGTTTGGCTATTGTGGACATTGCTGCTAGAAACATCGGGGTGCAGGTGTCCCGGTGTTTCATTGCATCTGAATCTTTGGGGTAAATCCCTAACAGTGCAATTGCTGGGTCGTAGGGCAGGTCTATTTTTAACTCTTTGAGGAACCTCCACACAGTTTTCCAGAGTGGCTGCACCAGTTCACATTCCCACCAACAGTGCAGGAGGGTTCCCTTTTCCCCGCATCCTCTCCAACATTTGTGGCTTCCTGCCTTGTTAATTTTCCCCATTCTCACTGGTGTGAGGTGGTATCTCATTGTGGTTTTGATTTGTATTTCCCTGATGGCAAGTGATGCAGAGCATGTTCTCATGTGCATGTTGGCCATGTCTATGTCTTCCTCTGTGAGATTTCTCTTCACGTAAAAGACACTTTTTATGAGGAGAAATGTATTTATGCTCTGATAGTACTGATTTTTTATTTTTTATTTTTTTTAAAGATTTTATTTATTTATTCATAAGAGACACAGAGAGAGAGGCAGAGACACACAGGCAGAGGGAGAAGCAGGCTCCATGCAGGAAGCCCAATGTGGGCCTGGATCCCAGGTCTCCAGGATCAGGCCCTGAGCCGAAGGCAGGTGCTAAACCGCTGAGCCACCCGGGCTGCCCTGATAGTACTGATTTTTTGGACAAGGATTCCAAGTAAAATAGAAAACGGTCTATTTAAAAATTATTTGGAATTATGATTCTCAGCATAAATCCAGAGGTGGTTGCGGGGTGACAAAGGGCAGTGTTCTCCCTTGGGCTGGGGCAACAGCTCTGAGGGGGAGCAGCATTCATGAGCAGAGGAGCTGGCAGGGGTGCAGCTGACCACTGGACAGGTTCGCCTAGAAGCAGCCCGCGAACATAGGGCGTGCAGAGGCTGGGGTGGGTGTGAAGGGATGGATAGCTGAGCTGTCACCCCTCCTGGTCCTGCCAGTCCTGCTTCACCCCACCCCCGCCACCGTGGTGGTGGAGGGGCCACGGGCGCAGACCCAGCTCCCCAGAGGCTGTGGCGATGAGTGGGCCTCTCCTCGTGGACGTCCATCTGCTGTGGCGGAGCAGGGCTTGGACGCGTGGGAGTGCTGCCCTCACCGTCCCTGGAGGACTTGGGGGAATCCAAAGTGATGCCGTCTTCAGTTCCCGGGAGCTGGGGGTCACTGCAGGGACCTCATACAGGTGGAATCCTGCAGGATCTGTTTGACTCGACGTCATGTCCTCCAGGTCTGTCCCTGCCGTGGTAGGCGTCTGCCTGTCCCAGTTCATGGCTGCGTGACAGTCCACGGTGCATGTGGACCCGCCTTATCCATTCATCTGTCGACGGGCAGTCGGCTTGGTCCACCTTCTGGCATCATGTCTCTCGCTTCCTCTTGCACCTGCCCGATCCAGCTGCCCACCCCGCTGCCCCACCACAGCCTCTCGGGGCTGCTGTGGATGGAGCTGCTCTCATACCTGCCTTCATGCCCCCTATGCTTCCACCACACCTGTCCTAGGAACATCCTCAGCAGCCACTCCCAGGACCCCTTGGTGCCCATCCCTTCTTGAGGTCTTGGTGCCCTCTCCTGACCTCCAAATTTCAGGGTGCCCAGGGCTTTGTCCTCAGACATGTTCCTGGTCTGCAGGCACCCATGCTCGAGGATGGCCTCGTAGACTCTGATGTTGCCCCAAACCTGCACCTCCCGCGGACCCTAGTCTCCACAAAAAGGTAGCTTCATCCTTCCCTTGCTGATGCCCACAGCCTCGGAGTCACCTGGCTCCTTCCTCTCTGCTCTGTCCGTCTGCTAGCAAGTCCTGATGGCCAAGTCAGTGAAGCATGGCCCACCTTCGTGCCCTCATGCTGTACCTCAGCTCTTGCCTGGGTTGTCCAGGTAGCTCCCAACCGGGTTTCCTACCTCCTCTGTCCTCTCAGGATGTTTCTGACACGAATCTAGGCCCCTCCTGGGCTGTGAACTATGAAGCAGCTCCTGTTTCCCTGGGAGCCAGGCTGTGTTACCACCATGCTCCCTGACTCAGGGCCTTTGCACTGAGTCTTCCTTCTGCCCAGAGGCCTACAGGCTTAACTCCCTCACTGCCAGCCAGTGTTCTCCCAAGGTCTACTCTGACCTCTCCGTAAAGCTGTGGATCTCCCCCGAACCTAGCCCCCATCTCTTTTATCTTGTTCTCTTTCCTGTAGTGCACATCACTTACATCATGTTGTATGATTTTCATTTTATTTTTTAAAGATTTTGTTTATTTATTCATGAGAGACACAGAGAGAGGCAGAGACACAGGCAGAGGGAGGAGAGGCAGGCTCCATGCAGGGAGCCCAACGTGGGACTCAACCCCAGGTCCCTGGGGTCATGCCCTGGGCTGAAGGTGGCGCTAAACTGCTGAGCCACCTGGGCTGCCCTTGTTGTATGATTTTTAAAACTGCTTTATTGAGATATGATTCACACCTCACACAAGCGACCCATGTGAAGCGTGTAATTCACTGGTTTCCGGTGCGTTCAGAGGCGTGCACCGTCACCACATCTCAGAAACCCTGTGTTCCTTGGCTGTCACTCCCCGGCCCCCTGCTGCCAGCCCCAGGCTCTCGATCACCTCCCCTCTGGATGTGCCGACTCTGGACACCCTGAGTAAATGGAATATGGGCCGTATTTTCTGAATGGGATCTGCGAGCTGCCTCCTGTCTGGACTGTGAGCTCTGTGAGGACACAGAGTCCTGTGTCGTAGACACAGCGGCTGGTGCCCCCCAGGTCCTCGTCAGAGCTCCGTGGAGTGCGTTCTGTGCGGAGGCCATTTACGGAAGGCTGCTGGCTGCTGCCCACAAAGCAGCGCCCCTTCCCTGCAAAGAGCGTCCTGAACCTCAGTGGAAGCTCGGGACTCCGTCTCTCAGAAGCGACGTCACAGAGTGCAGCTCGGTTTCCAGACTGACTCACTGAGACCTATTTAACTCGTTGTTCAGGGACGCCTGGGTGGCCCTGTGTTCTAGTTCAGGCGGTGACCCCGGGGTCCTGGGATCGAGTCCTGCATCGGCCTCCCAGCAAGGAGCCTGCTTTTCCCTCTGCCTCTCTGTCTGTGTCTCTCGTGAAGAAATAAAATCAGTCTTAAAAAAAAGATTCATTGTTCAATATGGACACCATACATTTTTAATCCAAAATATTTTTTAAATATATCTTTCTAGCTCTCCCCTGCCCCTCCAAATCCATCACTTTTATCTTGAGTATTGTTGCCTGAGAGGCGGGTTCCTGTGGATCAGGGTGGAAGGACGGGGAGCTGGAGGGTCCTAAAAGGCCTGCACCCAAATGCCAGGCCTTTGCAGTATTTGACTGTTACTATGTTTGACTTACATACCTTGTATTACAAGAGCATTGAGTTCACATTGGAAACAATGCAGACGACACCACAAGGCCCACCGTGAAGAAGGAAACCTCTACCCTTGTGTCCTCCCCCTCAGTCCCCGACGGTGACTTTGCCGATGATTTATGGGGCTTTTAAGGAAAAATGTCTCTACGTACAAGCATGTGACACATCAGTCTTTTTTATACACAGGTTCGTACAGTGCTTTGCCTTTTGCAACCTTCTAAAAGATGGATTTTGTCCATCTTTATCACATCCGTTTTGTGTCCTCTGTGCAAAATTTCACTTGGAAGTGTGATGATGAGTTGAGCCCCATGGATAGACGCTGGTTTTGCTGTCGCAGATGGAGCCCCTGTCTCGCTGCACGTTCAGGCACAAGCATGTGGAGAGGACCACTCAGAAGGGGACGGCTGAGTGCGCAGAGGCTACTGGTCGTCCTTCCCTACCCCCCGCATAGTTAGTGACCTCAGTTGTCCTCAGAGTTGCAGCCCAGCTGTGGCTGTGTGACTGGGTCGGAAGCGAAACTCCATTGTGGAGGATTTCCAGCTCTTTTGGAATATGAGGCACTTTGTGATGGTACCTTCTGAGGATAGTGGAACAGCAAGATAGAGCCTGGGTTTGTGACAATGTCAAGAAGCTGACACGCTAGTCTTCTGTGCTTCAGTATTTGTTTGTTTGTTTGTTTTTTTAATGAGGCAGAGACAGACACTTATCCTATCTAAGCCATTGTTATTTCTAGTGTCTGCTAAGTACAGTTTCCAACTGATTCACTGTGTCAGTGAGTATTCCAGCATTAGATACAGGTGGTGGTTGTAGGACATCGTGAAGGCATGGAATGTTGTTGGGTTGTACACTAAAATGATAAATGGTTTGAAGAACAGGAGGGGGTCCCAATCCTGCAGTTTGTGGGTGTAGGGACAATCTTGATACCATATGAAAGGCAGGGGTACCACAGGCAACCAGAGGAAGGCAGCAGGGCAGAGTCAGGGACAGATTCTGGGATGAGGTGAGGCTTGGGCTGAGTCTTGGACAAGTACAAGACAGCCAGGGGAGGCACGGCGTT